AATTCAGTGAGGAAGATAAGAATCCAATGGCCACTGTATTAAGAACCTACTGAAAGATGCAGCTTCAATTCTTTTATCAGAATCATACACCAAGAATTTACTCAAAAGGTCCCGAGCGATATTGGATACATCGGGAACCAGTTGTTCTAATGGCATCACGGAATACTCTGGGAAGGAAATCTTGTTGTAGTCTGGCAGCTCCGTAATGCCCTATCAAACAATGTCAAGGAATGGACACTGAACAACTCTTTTTCAAATTTCAGCCACACCTTAACACATGGTGGATAAAAAGTTATTCTATAAACTGACAAATGTTCATGATGAAATATTTTTCCTGCTGTTTTTATGAAATTTCTAACAATTTAAATACAAATAAAAAAATAAGGCGTTTTTTAATGCTCCGCCATTTTTAAATAAGAAAGGTCAAACAATATTTTTTTTTACAAAACTTTTTCATGTAGGTATTCTGTTACCAACAGCATAAAGTTATAAGAAAGAAGGGTTAAGTTTAATGTGATATACAAAATATCCCATCAAACATATATGTAAATATCTGTAAACAATACTTTACATTTGTACTATAACTTTCACTGTAGTGTATCATCTCATGATAAATGTGAAAATAACAGAAATATTGAAAAAAAAGTGGCCCCTATTTCTCTTAAAAAGCATTTTAAACAAGTCATTGCAAATATGATTTTATTTGTATGCATCAAGAGTACATATACATAGTAACGTAGTTACAGTTTAAACTAAAGAGGCATTTAGAGACTTATTAACAAGTTACATCACCAAACAAATGCTTAACTAAATAAATATCAGGTAATGATCAAAAAACATGTTACTTACAGGCCAACTCTGTTCATCAGGTGTCCCCAGTGCTCGAAGCACAAGTGATAGTTGTTCAATATCATTATCACCCTGGGAAATAATATAAACCATTCTAGCCTAAGTCACATAGTTCTCAATTAAAATATTAATGGTCACAGAATATCTTTTACACAATGTACCATAAAGTAACTTCTTAACATGCAAGATAGCAGATAACAGGGATGTATTTTTCAAATTTCGACATTTTAATTATCTGACCTGTTAAACAGCTAAAGAACAATTTTATAATGAAATTATTAAAAGATATGGCTGATTAAGTTATAAGATTTAATGCCAAAAACTCCATGTATCCACATGCAAGTTCCAGCAGATTATCAGTCGGTAGGTTCTTATCACAGTGGCCATTGGATGCTTAATGTCTCGCTGAATGACATCTTCACACCATCCTTCAGTAGGTTCTCATTGAAACATTGTGGTAATTTGAGGTATTTTTTGTTAATTTCAATGCTTCATACAGCAAGAAATATATATATATATGCCAAGAATGGCATGTATCGCTCAGTACAATGAAATATTGTGCAGAATTAGCTAATGCATTGAAGATGCGTGACTATGAAAGAAAAAGTATGTTAAGTATAAACCAAGATGTGTGTAATCGGCCTTGAGAATGATTATGCAAACTTCATTAGAAACTGGACACGAGATCTACATTGATAAACTGATGCCAGCATAGCAGAGACAAAGCTACAAGAAATGTTTATATTAACTTGGATAAAACTTCCAAATAAGGGGATAGTTGGAACTTTGATGTCCAGAAGACGAAGTAGTTCTTAATACAGTGGCCATTGGATTCTTATCTTCCTCACTGAATTGCATCTCTACACCATCTTTCAGTAGGTTCTTAATACAGTGGCCATTGGATTCTTATCTTCCTCACTGAATTGCATCTCTACACCTAAAGTAAGTTGATAACTAAGTAGTTGTCTTTATGTTTCAAGTCTTATGATCTTTATTGTTAAAGTGTTCTATATGTCTTAACATTCTAAAGTAAGTTGATAACTAAGTAGTTGTCTTTATGTTTCAAGTCTTATGATCTTTATTGTTAAAGTGTTCTATATGTCTTAACATTCTAAAGTAAGTTGATAACTAAGTAGTTGTCTTTATGTTTCAAGTCTTATGATCTTTATTGTTAAAGTGTTCTATATGTCT